TATCCCCGCGCGCCATTTTAAGCGCAAATTTTGCATCCTTCTGATCGTGGCTGCTGTCACACAAAGTACCCTCTTTGTTAAAATAGCGGGAACAGGAGACGAAACGTTTTATATTCACTCTCTTGAATGCCATATCGAGGTAATAATACTCAACCGACCCAATCCACCCTCTACAGATTCGCAGTCGAACTATTCCAGTGACGCCCTAACTCTATGAGGGAAAAACACTAACTTTCTCGTCCCCTTACTTTTTCTCTCCTGAAGCGCCTGCGTGCAATCCCTCGAGCCGCGTCCCGCCGTTTATTTAGTCGCCGCGACGTGTGGGGTCCGCCTTTTTCCAAGAGGAAACGCACAAAGACGACAGGCGTGGAGACGGCGGATGGCGGCAGCAGCTTTAGGTGGTCCCGAAGCGAGAGGGAAGTTTAATTAGGGCAACCTGGCTTTTTAATGCAGTGATTGAGTTTGGGGGAGGGTGAAGGAAATTATCTCTGGTTCCTGTGGTTGGGGGTTTTCTCAATACAGCTTTTTTGCATTGTTAGCTTTACAATAATTCGAATAATCTTCCATCGGATTTATTGCCAGCGCGGTGTGCAAAAGTTGCGAAGTGGGGAATCTGCGTAGGCGGTAGAGAAGTGGCGTCTCTGCTTTCTTCTAGAGAAGTGTCAACGCAAACTCGGCTACTTTTCAGCATCTGGACAGACATCTTCCTAGTTGCATTAAAGCCTTCAATATTTCAAAAATTAAGAGGATAGAAGTCAAGTTTTATTTATCTATTTTTTTCCTAATTCCTCCCCTTTCCCCTTTCAGTTATTCCCGAAGAAGAAATTTTAGGTTAATATATAGTATCTTTACTTGAATGGCTTTCTTAACACTGTCTTTAAATGCTTATTTCTTCTTTTACAAAAACGAACTGAAACAATTGAGGTTGAGCTTGTTTGGAAACAAAACCATTAGCAATTCTTATATTGTAATTATGTTGACCAAATAAGAATTTTTGTCTATAATTCTGGTGAACCATAGTTGAATGTGAGTTTCTAGGAAGCTCATAGTTGGCTTCCTGAAAAGCTCATTTGTTTCTCAGGTCCAGCACACTTTGCCTATTCTGTTGCCTAAAACTAATTCAGAAATATTAGACAATTAATCTGCAGTGCATTTAATTTTGTTTGTTACTAGAAGTTGGGATGGAAACCCAAATTGGACAGACAATATCTGTAATAACTCTTAAAAAAATGAGTGTAGGGACAGTAACCAATTGTTCTCTTTGCTAGAAATTTCCAGTAAAATTTCATAACTTAAGCACTTCTGAAACAGTCATAAAAGATAAGGATAAGCAGAACAGAAATTTTGTCTCTGAGAAAAGAGAGGAATTGCCATAATACAGACATAATGCTGGTCAGCTGTGACTACATTCTAAGCATTAAACTGGAAAATGAGGTTTTGATAAAAGGAAGAGTATAGAAGAAGAGAGTATCAAGTGTGATGAAAAGGGAATATGATACTGCTTTGCAAAATACGCAGCAATCAAAGGGTAGGAAAAGAAGGTATAGGAGTTCTTCATTGAAAGTGGGATCTCACGGAGACATACAAAAAACATATACCAGTTCTTTACTAGAACATGAACAAAAAACCAAAGTTTAACAAAAAATGCAAAGAATTTAAAGAAAAAATGCCAACATTCCTTGTTAATGAGAGGATTACACAAGGAGATGAAAAGGATGGGACTTGTAATGATTGATTTAGGTTCTGAAAAGGTATCAAGAAACCTGCAGAAAAGCCATAGCCACTTAGCCTCAGAATCAAAACTTCAGCATAAAACATGTAATTTTAGGAAGAGAATTAAACCAATTTGGCCAGTACAAAAGCAGAACAAAAGTCAAAGAGTAATGGGAACCGTAACTGAGAAGCATGGTACTTCAGTAATAATAGATTTAAGGTCTGAAAAAGCACCAGAAAACCTGCAGAAAAGCCATAGCTGCACAATTTTGTTCTGCACCAGAACAAAAACCGGACAAAAATCAGAGAATAAAGAGAAGCATATGTAAATTAGAATATATCATACAGAACATAAGGGTATTAAAATATAGCGAAAATTTCCCCAAATCACAGATATATGTAAAGTACCCAGTCAATGTGAGGTCAACTGCTGTGTCACATTTTTCAAATAGCTGTGTAGAAGGAATAGAGAGTCTAATGAAAATGCCATGGTGAATTTTGTAAAACAAAAAGAACTGACTCAAAATTGCAGAAGAATATAAAAGTTTCAAGGCAAGATTTATTTGATTCTCTAGCAGACTTTGAAGAAAATAAATGCAGAAGTAATTTAAAAGAAGGAATAAATATGATGGTAACACAAATATTTTCAAAATCAAAAATGTATACTAGTGATGGTGAAAAACAAAGTTAGAAGTCAGAAGTGTTACAGAGATCCTGGAATATAGCCAATGGATTTCAAATAAGAAAATAAAGAATAAATGGATTGTAAACCTAAAGAGGAGCTGTTGGTTACTAAAACAGCGGGAACTAGTAAGGAAGAGACAGATGGAAAAGATGAAATGGTGTCTTCAACTGATCTTAAACAAAAAATCAAAAAACATTTAATAAGGATGCTTATTCCCTTTTCATCTGAATACAGTATATATTTTATGACTTTAGGATTGGATTTCTATTTTTTGCACTCCCTGCTTGAATCTAAATTTAAAAACTTTAAAATGACTTTAAAATTAAAATTGGGATAGTATAACGAGTAAAAAATTAAGTTAGGTTATATTTGCAATTGAAATTAAAACATTTTACAATATTAAACTTCCTTCAAGAGATGTTGGTCAAAGCTCCAGCCTTGAAAGCAAGCATTTGAGACCGAGTTAAGTTAATTCCTGATAATTTAATGCCCATGCCCATGCTGTTTCTTCAAATTTGGAAGTGATTTCTGTTTTGGATGGACTTTTAAAAACATTTATCAATGTAGCCAACAGCTTTAGTATTTCATGATGATCTCTCACCTAACTACTACCATAATTGGATCTGACCTGCTTTAGCTTTTTCAAGATCAAGTAGGGCTTCTGTCTAGCTGGATACTAATTCTTTATATAGAATGAGTACTCACGTCTGGGCATACTTGTTTATATAAAGCTACTTCTTTTATATTTTGGCTGGAAAATATAAACACTTTTCTAAAAATTAATAACTTTTATTAATTCTCTTAAATGTATCACTTTTTTGTAGTCTGCTGTATTTTACATTAAATTAAAGCTACATTAGAATTAAAATTCCCTTGTGTAGGATTTATACATGATTGCATAATTATTTATTTTAATGTTTACATTACTTTATTAAAAAACATATGTAATAATCATATTATTGTACAGATAATCCTTGACTTGCTATCAGTTGTTTAACTACTGTTTGATATTACGACAGACTTTCCTAGAGATATTTATGACCCATTTTTGGAGTTACAGCAGCTACAGGCCATTCTCCTTGTGGTCACATGATTGTAGTTTGGATGCTTAGAAACCAAGTCATCTTTACAGTTATTTGCAGCTTTGTGTGTTCGTATAGCCACAATTTGTTACTTTTTTGTCAGTTTCCAGAAAAAATAGATAGGGAAAATAGTTACTTTTAAAAACTGTGGCATTCAGTGAATGGCCATTATAAAAATTGCTCATAGCTACAAATCAAGACATGTGATGTCTTGATTTACAATTGTAATTCCAGACTCAAATTACAGTTATATGTTGATTTAATTAGTACCTGTACTAATTAAAATAGGACCTAAAGTAAATTTAGATGATGCTACCGTGTTTCTCCAACAATACGGCCTCCACCAATAGGAAGGCCCAGCATGTTTTTGGGGCATAAAATCAAATTAAGCCCCTCCCCCCAAATTTAGGCCTATCTTTAAAAAAGCAAAATAAGGGGGAAGGGCGGGAGACTTGCCGTTAGGAGCGCCCGGCGGGCAGGAATTCCTTGCCACCAGCCGCTCCTAACGGGCGATCATGGCGAAGCGCGGGGAGCTCCCTACTCCCACCAAACACCTTTGCTGCAGACACCTTTGGCACCCGCCGCTGTTGCTTTCCCT